CAAATAACACAATTGTATTCAAAAATATAAACAGTAGCTTCAATAAAAGAATACTCTTATTTTAGTTTAAAACATTTTGTAAAATGCCATCTAAAGAGATAAATAACATTGACATAATTAGACACATAGAGGAATGTGTAGTAAAACATAACTTCATAAACAAAAAAAAGCAGAATTTTCAATTAGAAATTTTATGTTGAAATAGAAATTATGTAAATTAATAAATTAAGTACAGTTTCTAGAAAAATTTTCAAAGCAAGAGAAACTGGAGAACTTTCTCTTGGTGTCAACTGTAAAATTTGATCAAATTGCAAAGATTTAAATAAGTAATAAATATTGAAGTAATCATCACAGATGAGAACAAGTTAGCAAGTAACACTAGTGGCAAGATTTTAAGGTAAAATACTATATCAATATCTACCACGAAAAGTTTTACTAGTTTTAAAACATTGCAAAGTAAAAATATTCAACCATAAAATTTGAACTTTTTATGGCAATTCCAAAGGACTAAAAATATAATATTAATAGATGAAAACTAAACAATCAAGCATTCTATAGTTTGAAAGTGACCATAGAAACCATATGCATGCATTAATAATATGTAAAAGAAATTTATAAAATAATTCTGATAAAAAAGAAGCTATCGTAACAGACAAACAGAAATTGTATTTAGATACCTTTATATTTAAACACATAACATTTAAATTAATGCATATTTTATAGTAAAAAGATGTTTAATAGAAAGTCAGAAATAATACTTTCTTAAAATTTAACTGCTGTCACATTTTAAATAAAAGAGTTCTTCCCTGTAACAGACTAACAACTGGAAAAACTGTGTAGTGCTACAACACATTTTTGTACCCCTGAGAGCACTGTGGTAATTGCACATATAGCTAGTACTGTGGTCATCATTAATCATTTACCTCAACTGCCAGTATTAGCAAAATTTTCGATTTTGATGCCTTTGATTGCGGATAAATAGAAGGTATTTGCTGCAAGGGCCATTCACTTCCTAAAAGCATGAGAGCTAAAATTTTCAATGTTACATTTTTTGGTTTGAATGTTGTTTTTTTGTGCTTTAATGTCAAGGTTTGACTTGTATTAAGGCATAGTAAATATAAAAATACAATTATAATGATAAAGATTTTCTCACTATTACATGATGTTGCTGTTAAAATTTTTGTGAATTCAATAAAAAAATAAGATTTGTGATTTTGCAAGAATGATAAATGATGCTTTAAAACTAAGGAGGATTTATACTATATGAAAGAATGTTAACATAAAATGTACTGCATCTCTGCAAAATAGTTTGAATTATAACATAAACTTTCAGAAATCAGAATATATTAAATTCGTGAAAAAATTTTAAAAAATTTATAATAGTAGTGAAAAATTAAATTTCAAAATGGATATTTTAGGTTGTGGAACCTAAAATATTATTTCATAAAAAGATAAGAGTCAGTGCTTATAACAAACTAATTTAACAAAGAAGCTGAAATTTCAGAAGCAATAAGTGGCAATTATTCACCATCACTTATTTCTCAACCAATCTTGAATTTCTTATATATTCATGACATTCTTTCTAAAAAGCAATTGCTTGATGTTAATGAAAATTAATTCCCAAACAAAAAACAGCAATTTAAAGTTTCACTCTGAGCTTATTTAGGTTTAAATTTGCCTGAAAACCAATATGAGCAATAGAGGAACCAAAAGAAATTTTTTGATTAACTGATAAAAAAATTCTGACACTCTAAACAATGAGTAACATTTTTGAGAAATTTCTCTGCTCTGCACTACTTTTTGCTGAATATCATAGAGAATACCCATTTTTTATTTCAGAAAAACCACAAACTTTAAGTTCACAAAAAGCTAACTGAAGAGTTAAAAATTCAAACAAACATAGCAACAATATAACAGTAATTTGTTAAGACACATGAAAATTTACTCAGCAAGTGATGATGTAGACAACAAAAATATTTAGAAGATTGCTTATTTCTTATTTCAATTGAAATAAGATTCCTAGATCTTAAACAGTAACTTAGGCATACATATACTTTCTATATAAGATATTGCAACAACAAAAAGATAAAACAAAGAATTTCAAAAATATAAATAATTAAGATATAAAGACAAAGTAAATGCATTAAAAATAATATATGAAAAGCATTTGAGTTTCAAAAAAAATCTTATATACTTTTTAAAAAAACTCCATCACTAATGAAAAACTGTGCTCTTTTTCCAGATCACTCACTATTTATATATAGCGCAAAAATCCAAAATTTTATGTATTTCATATGAATTAAATATACTGTCAAAGCTGAGACAAATAAAACTAATGATAAGATTATTATGACTTATCTGATGGCAAAGTTTCATTCAAATCCATGCCATTTTGACTCATTCAGTATTATTAACTGAATGAATCAAAATGACACACATAGTAAATTTGAAGAATTAGTAAATCAGCTTTCATCATAATATTCAGGGAACTTGATTTTAAGCATAAGATAAAAGAGCCCCTACAGGCAAGTTTCTCATTGATTTATAGCAATGTAGTGTGATGTAGATAGCAAGGGGTATAGTAAACAAATATAAGCATTCAAGATGCTGAATCAAATGTGCAGTTCAAAGTCCCACATCATGACACATGTTTTCTGAAAATGCCTGTTTTCCAAAAACTTTATAAAAATCAAAATTAACTAACTTCTTTCCCTTCCCCCCCCAAAAAAAAAATTTCCCCCCTTTTTTTCGCTCTTGATCTGTTTCGAAATCATATGTATAAAAAGAAAATTGTTTTTATTTTTTCCTTACTGTATTACGGATTGCAAAACATTTATACTGCTTTAATGAGTAAGTTGTTGAAAAGACAAGAACAGTTGAAGGAAAACAAACTACAGTTAAAGGAATGAAGTATACATATTAATGAAGCTGAATATTAACATTATTTGAAAGAAACACACGCGAATAGACTATGTTAGGATTTAAATAATAGATATTTTCATTTAAAAATCTACTTAATTCTGTTCCCCATTTCATAATATTCCTTTTCATTTTATTGAACAGAATAATTTTTTTTTGAATTGAAGCCATTTTTTATAATTATTTTTATCGGAATATCTTTGCTACTAATTCTGCATATCAAATGAACAAAAAGAGAAAAATGTATCTTTATTCAAGAAAGACAATTCTTATCCTCTGCTTACTTCATATTTCTTATATATATATATATATATATATATATTGTTAGGGTGATTAGTTTTATTATTTTCAATACTCTTAAGTTAATTAACTTAGTTAATAACAAACTGTTATGGTATAAAAATAGACATTAATTATCATTCAGATAATTTTTTTCATTAAAAAATTTATGTCTTTATCTTTGGTTGTCTTAAAAGCCTATTATCTGGGAAAATGTATTTCCCGGATTTTCCAAAATACCAACAGTTCCAGGTACAGGACAAGAGCAGCAATTGTATTCAAAAACACCATACATAAATGAAAATTTTTAAATATATGACTAGAATTGCATAAAATAGGGAAGAACCTTTTTGGTTCCAATGTGATAATAAAAGTAATGCATAGTCTTTTCCTATCATAAAAAACCGGTTGTTTGATTCAAAATCTATGGTGAAACCATCATGAATATTTACTATAATGAAATCGAAATTAACTTAAAATGCAATATTATTAACATCATATAATTAAATTTTTCTACCACTTTAGAACTTTACTTCAAAAAATTCTATTTAGAACAAAATTTAAAATTAACCAATCAGTTTAACATATAGAACAATTTTAGCAAGATCTATCAAATTAAAAATAAAAAATACACATAATATACTGCATGGAATAAATGCACACATTCTAGAGCATTCAAGGGAATTTTTTTTCTTTAAAAAATAAGTCAAACTCACTTATAATGAGCCCTGATTTAATGTGAACTCCAATTCAATAAAGAAATTGGAAATACTTAGTTGACACAATACAAAGTCTCCTGGAGCATAGCTCACTTTTAACAACCAATATTTTGGGGATTCATAAAATTACTCTCAACTTCCACCTCTCTAACTCAACTAATCTATTCTTGAAATAATTTCTTTAACACTCAGAAGGCAACTGAAATTTAGTGATGAATCATAAATTTATCAGAATTTTGTATAATTTTTAATGACTTTCTCCCGAACACATTTTTTTAAACACTTGGTAATAAGCATATATTACAGTCAATTTAAATCATTATAAGCAGGTTTAGCTGAATAAGGCATATAAATATTAACTGGATAGGAAAATACAAAATAAAACATTTTATTTAAAAAATAACGTATTTTACCGTGTTTCATTGTCATAGGAAACACGTATTAAAAATTTAAGAAGAATATTAAGTCTTAAATGTCCTTGATATTTTTTCTATATACATTATGAAATCTTTCTGAAGAACGAAATTTCAAAAAATGAGACTTATTCAATCCGAGATAAAGAAAAATTATTTATCAAGAAAGTTAAACCCCAATGAATTTTTGAAACAAAGAAAATCTGACTTTATTATAAAAATAGAAAATCAAATGAAATTTTATTTAAGCGATATTTAGTTTGATGGTGAGGATGGTCTAGAAGAGATGTTTATTCTAAAAGAACAACTCATTCCTAAACTAGGTTTAAAAAAAGTAATAATAGTTAAAAAATTTACAATGGCTAGATAAACACTTTTTTCCTATCAAATTTTATATTAAATTTTAAAAAATTCTATCACTCGCTCCTCAAAAATATTTTAAGGAAACTAAATTGAAAACTTTTATTTGATTTACCATTTAAGATTTTAAAAAAATAAAAGAAAATTGCAAATTGCTCTTATTTTTCTTTTAAAAAAAACTCTTACACAAAAGATAGCATGCTATTATTATTTGCTTGAGAGAATCAAAACAAGTGCTAAAAAAAATATTGAAATTTTTTTTGCCTCTTTATTAAAAACCCTTTTTTCTCCCCTTAAAAACAAAAAGATATTTTCTTTTGATAATATGCCCAATATACACAAAACTGAAATATTTAAGCATACACAATTTTCTTATTATATATTTTTTATATAATTATTGCTGTAGTTATTTGAACTAGATAATGTGCAGTTGATATTTTTTGAACGTCAAAACAAATCAGAACTTTAAATATGTAAGCATTGTTCAATATATAAGAAAAAACAGTTTTAACAAAATATAAATTAACTACTATTTGTGTAATGAATGTTTATCACAAGAAAATATAGATTCACTGTAAATGTGAATTCATATAGAATGTACCACTTTCAGACTCTTTGTATTAGCAGTGATGGTTGGAGCTACCTGTTTAGCTTTATTGTATCCAAAAACTCCCACAATTACAATTGTTGTTCCTAAACCACCAAGAAAAGTTACCTTGTTTCCAAAAGTTATCACAGACAGCCATATCAATAGTGCCCTCTTAGCAGTGTTAGCAACACTAAAAATAATAATAATTAAGTATGCATGTTGAAAACTAGATTATTACACTACACATAAAAAAAAGTACTAGCAACAAATTATTTAACTAAGTCATTATCGTGTTATTAGAAATTATCATATATATTTATATGTTTACATAGATATTACTACGACTACAATTATTTTTAACGTAAGGTAAATGACAAATATTAAAATTCTTGCATATACATCATACAGTTACAGTGTTTAATTAAATTTTAAAGCTCAACTAATTTATTTGCAAATCTAGATATACATAGTAAACTGTTCCAGAAATGCTTTATGTTAATTTTTTGAAATTAATCTATACCAGCTAATATTGTTTCAAAATGATCTTTAATAACTAAATTCAGGTTTCATAGATGTTCAAAATAAAAATCAGGATAACATTTCACAAAAAAAGCAGGACAACATTTTATTAAAAAAATCAGGTCATTTGATACCATACAAACATTCTAAATAACCATTTCAATAAATTTCGTACTGTGCATTTCTTTTATTATATGCAATCTTAAAAAATATAAAAACAAGGCGCAACATTTAAAGCTTTGAAATAAAAGATTAAGATAGGAACAAGTTCATCAGCAATGATTCTAAAAACTATGCAATTTTGAGGAAATATACATAAGGAAAGAAATCAGGGAATCCGAATTTTTTTTTCTTTGAAAATAGATTCTTCAATAAAAAAATAGATCAAAGTAAGCGTTAAAAAAATTATACTTATAGTTTATTACATACAATAATAAATAACTCCAAAACTGAATCGCATGTAATTTACACATTAAAGAATAAATGCATATTAAACTATATTAATAATAAAACATAATACATAGTAATCTGAAAAATACCAATGTGCCAAGTTCATCAAAATAAAAAGAAAACTAAAATTCATTAAACCATTACTTAAAGTAAATGGATATTTGCAGTACAATTGAAGTACTTTGGATCGCAATAAATGAAATGAAAAGTATAAAGAATAAAAAAACAATATTTTCACTGCGATTTCATGAACAGGAGGAAAAAAATTTACTACTTAAAAATGTGAATAAGTTCATCTTTTACTACACTTTTTAATTAGCAATCATACATATAAAGTAAAACATTAAGACAGCAAAAATGCTAAGATTAATTTTTTTAAGATAAAAAAAGCCTGAAACAAAATTATAAATCTTAATGATGAATAATTAGTGGAGGCTCCCTAAGTTCAAAAGATTGAATTTTTACTATTTTTAAAAATTTATAGTTCGTAAGTAAAATAAGAAAGTGAGATAAGCATTCCAAATAACAGATTTGAAGTGCTTTAAAACCATTCTATCAAAAACTGGTGAATGACCCCCAAAATTTAATGATTCAATATAACTGTTTCCATGATTTATAAAAATAAAATAATAGTCGTTAATTGGATTCTCTACAATCAGAAAATAAAGTGTGGCATAACATTATTACTTCACTTTTTAGACGAAGTCCAATTAGTTAAAATTAAGAATTTTTATTTTAAATCAAAATCATGCAAAATTAAAGGCATAGAGGGAAAAAAAAACTTTTTCATTAAGCAAAAATTCCTCACTCTGATGGAAATGAGGCTTTTTCTTTAAGAAATGAGAAGGGAAAAAATCAGCGATGAACTTTAAATTCATCTTTGTCAAAAAAACATAAGAAAACGTCTATAATAGAAAGTAACATATATTGTTAGGTTTTTTAAATAACTTCGGTAGTCACAGATCATTTACAAAATAATAGTTAATTTATAATAGACAATAAATTTAAAAATTAATAAATAAAATTACACAATTTTCTAAAATAGGAGCCATAACATGATTAACATTGCCGTATTTAACTTTTATATCAGGAATAATTAGGAGTTCCACAAGCGCACAGTAAGATTCCTCTATTTTTTAAAAAGAATGAAATATTAATAAAAAAAGGTTTTATTTATTGATTTAATTCAATTCCTTTAGTAGGGTCAGATTTAATACAAAAATTTTTGTTCAAAAACAGATTCAGCAATAATTCGATCTGAGAAAAATAGAGCGTTTTAGTTTTTCACACTACCTACTTTTTATATAATACACATTTAACTTCTTAAACAAAAACATACTGCTTTTTGCATTGATAGGTCTAGTTTTTCTTACTTCTTTTCTACTGAAAGAAAGATTTTTTTTAAAAAATCCAAATAATTCTCTTTTAGACAAAACGAAACATTTTGGAGAAACAAAAAAAAAAACAGGAATATCAGGACAATATGCTAAAAATCATGACAAATAAGGACAAAATATTTTTAATCAGGAATATTAGAACAACTGCAAACCTTGCTAAATTAATAACAAACTGTTCGCAAGCATGAAAGTTTCTTAAATAACACTTAACAATAAACTTACATAACAACACTGTGCAATTTCAAAAAATTATAAATTGGCAACATTTGATAACTATTTCAGTCCTAAAATATTGTACCTTAGAAAATATTTATGTGTTATACAATATGATTTTATCACATTTTTGATTAATTTTTGGAACTAAATATTATTTGAATGTGACATATGATTGATTTAATTTACTTTGTTATGCTATACATTATTCAGTACTTAAACAGAGTACAGCTCAACTAAATCTAGCAAGAGAAAAATAAGTGTATAAGTTACGATATTGTGAAACCTTAAGCCATCACTTGCTGTACCGACTGTATTATTATTCAAGTGTTGAAATATTAATCGTGTAAAAGTACATAAGCATTCTAGAATATGATTTTATCCTTTTATGACTTAGCATTTTAATAGTGCTTACCTATGTGTAACAGGTGATATATAAGTTAGCAAAGAATATTCAGTGATGCTCTGGCAATGAAATGAAATGCCATTAATTATGAGAAGTAAAAGCATTTGAAGAGTAAAAGTTGCTTGAAGAGTAGGAATATCTATCAATAAGACTAAGGCAGGAACTTGAACACACATAGATGCCAAACTTGTGTAAAATTGTAGCTCTGGTGGACTACAAGTAAAAATAATAACAAGCTTAAAACGTGCGCAAAATATAAAGGAACATTTATCTAATTCATTTCACTAAACAATACACAAATAATATACACAACTGAATATTAAATTTTTAAATTCATACATTTTAGTTATAATTTATAAGTTTATTTATGTATATATAAACTATTATTTTTTCTTTAACAGCAGGCATTGAACTTCTCATTCTTTGCCTCAGAAAATGCTGGTAGTGTTGTTCATTTAATAATATCCAATGAACACCGGTGAATGGAGGCGAGCAACAGAACACAATTTATTAACATATTATGATAAACATTGTACACATATTATCTTTAATTTAAAAATATCTATTGGAACATTCTAAAATCTGTTTCTTTTACTTATAAATCCCAGTTATAGTAAAATTGAGGTAAATTTCTGAGGTGCTTTCCTTAGAATTGCAATAACAAACCACTCAGAAGCACAACATTAGACTTCAAATGAACTAACAAGCAGGATTATTTTTTTTTAGTCAAGATGAGTTTTGGTTTTTAACAATACTAAAAATTGAATTGAATTGAAATAATATTCAAGCGGATTTAAAAGAAGCTTAAGCAATCCTAATTTAAAAGCATTAAAGTAGTTTATTTTTTAAAAAATTAAAAGAAATAACATATGGTTTAATATTCCGATTGTGGAATTACATTTATCTAATAAATTGTGTTTCCTACCTGTAACAATACTTTTCACTACTAATGAGCTTCTTAGAATAGACATTCTGCATACTGAAAAATAGAATAGAATTGTGAAGGTGAAGGTTTATAAGTAATTAAAAAAAAAATTTATGATGTTTGAATAGTAAATGAATATCTGAATTTCAAAAAAAAAAAAAAGAAAAAAAAAAGAAAAGAAAGAAAGAAAGGAAAAAAGTCAAAGACTAAGCAATCCCACAAATCACTTAGTGCTGTTTGGTTCTTTAATACAGATATGTTTTTTAACTCATTTACATAAATTTGGCATTTTAAAAAAGTACTGACTTACAAAACCAAAGTGACCCCAACTAGTATGGATTCTTCATAGTTCCAGAAAATACCTTTGCTAGTGGTGGTAAGGGGAGTATTTATATTTTAATAAATTAGAATTAAAAAAATTTTCCCCTACTAAACACAAGTAATTTAAACACATATATATAACATCATATAGAAGAATGCTTAAGTTTTTAAGTTCTAATAATTTTTTTAATAAAATTGGTTTGTTTCAAAAATATTCTGCCTTCGCTCACTACCACTGAAAAATTCACAACAGCCTCAAATAGTTAGAGTCTTTAAGTTCTTTGAAAAATATCTTAGTGGGTGTAAAAGAAGATTTTTTTTTTCAATAATCATTTAAATTTGAATAGTAAAGAGGTTTGTTATTTGTAAGAAAAATATGTATAATGTTCTTTAATATCCAAACATAAATCAGGCTTAATATATACTACATGCTAAATGACAGAAGTTATCGTCAACACCATTTTTTGAGGCCCTAAAATACCCACAAAATATATTTTGGTGAAAAACATACTTGGTATGGGGTGGTTAAATGGAACTAATTGTAAGTAGCAATCAGGTTCCTCCATTGGCTAATCTTGATGAAATTACAAAATCAACATGTTGAATATTAAAAAAATCAAAGACATTAATAAAAATAATTAAAAGGTATGAAAACAATGTATAAAATTAAAATATTTAATTAGACAGATTTCAGAAATAATAAAGAAACAGTTATCAGAAATGTATTTTATTTCGGATGATTTTTAAGGATTGCATTTATATTTTTTTAAGAAATTTTTTTTCACAATCACAACAAAAATAAAATTATGAAAATAAGTCAAAAATTAAAAAGAATTAATAAAAATTTTCAAAGAAGTTTCAAAACCATCAAAAGAAGACTCGGATTGTTGGAATTCCTATCGAAACAATATCTAAACACTTATCATTTGCCCTGGATGCAACTCTGATAAATTTTTAATGACGAGAGATGATAGTAAGAAGAGGTATTTGAGGTATCTGGTGTTCGTGAATTTGACAACACAAAAATTTTAACAAATTCAAAGTTGACAAATATAAATGATCCTGTTCTTGAAAACTGGATGACAAAAAAAGACTGATTTTACTAATCTCAGTCTGGGCATTGTATAGAAATTGAAAAAAAATTAAATTCTATCAGTAAAAAATTGGTTAAAGACTTGAATATTCATCTGCAATGTAACTCTTAACAGGAGCAGGCCAGCCTCAAGCATACTTTATGTTATGAATTAGCAATTATTTAATAAGTAAAAATTATTTAAATGTTATTTAAAGTGACAAAAAAACCTGTGAATTGTTTGGAAAAAAATTATAAATGCATACCATTCAGATAAATTTGTTGCCATTGCAGCAACAAATCCATACATGTTAAAACTAAGCTCATTAATACTACATAGAGCTAATCCACCCATAATAGGTAATAGGGACAAACAAACCAGCCAGCTAGTTTGCTCATTCATCAATAACCATGCTAAGAGTACAGTAAAAACAGGAGCAGAACTCTTAACAGTTTCTGCGAATGAAACAGGCACAAACCACAAGGCTATCAAACCCATTAATAAAGTAGAAAACCTGTAAGAAAAAAATAAATAGTTTAATGTTTAATAGAATATATTTAAAAAATTATAAAATTATTGCTCTTGAAACATATAAAATCATAAATACTCTGTATTTTTAAAAATTTATTCAACTAAAAACAGTTATTAAAGAAAAAAATTATGTTATTAAAGAAAAAAATTGCAAACAATGAAACAGGCACTAAATTATTTCTATAGAGGTTTTTTTTTTAACATACATCACAAACAAAATATTTTTCGTTGTTTCGAATCTTTAACCAAGTTTAGACTAGGTAATCATGTGACTAACAACATATTTTAATCATTAAAATCTAAATCAGATACTCAATTTTTTTTTTAACTATTTAAAAGAGAAAATAATAGCTGAAATTATAAGCAATTCTGGTCACATTTTTCGTGACTGACATGATTTAATAAATTTTTGGAGCAAAAGTATTTTGCATTTAACTTTTTTATGGCTACTTTAATAAAAGGATACGAACTGAAAAGCATCTAAAATTGTGAGGAAACAGGACTTTTTTTAAAAACGATACCAGACAAAACTTTAGCAGTTATGGGAGAATCATACTAAGGCTGAAAAAAAAAAGTAAAGAAAGACTAATGATCTTGCTCTGTTTCAATGGTGAGGGTTCAGAAAAACTCCCACTATTAATCATTGGAAGATCAAACTAAAATGTTTTACGAATGTGAAGAAACTTCTCATTTATAAGAGAAACAAGATGGAATGACATATTTTTTTAGATTTCCTACATGAATTTGGCAGGAAAATGGAAAAAGAAAAGTTCTGTTATTCATGGATTGCTGCTCTGCTCACACACAAGATCTACCAACATGAAACTATTTTTTCCCCTTGGAATTGGACTAACAAAATTAAACCTTTTGATCTGAGCATCATTCGTTGTGGGAAAATACTCTATTGCAAAACTTTAATTTTCGACATTTGGCTGTTATAGAAACAAAACTTTAGATGGAAGATAAGCTGAAACAAATAACTGTCCTTGATGCAATTCACATGCTGTGCTGATCACGGGGAAGCATTATGGACAAATGCATCAAAAGTTGCCTTAAAAAAATTAAAAAAAAGATTTATTTCCAGAAAAGCTAATGTGAGGAGCCAAAAAACGAAAGTGAAAATGAGCTAAGCAAAGGTGAGTGAAATACTGCATCTGGTGGACTCACTAATTGTACTTAAAATGAATCTGTTGACATAGGTAAAAATTTTAATAACAGCTCAAAGGCAGAAAATTGAAGTTGAAATAAAAGGAGGTTACCAGGGGTCTGTCCAGACATTTTGTGAAAGGTCCGGTTTTTGTGAAATTGCGAAAAAATTACTCACATTCTTTCAACCAGGGTCCTGCTTTTATGAACTTGTACAAATAGGGTACGGTTATTGCAAAAACCTTTTTAAAAGAGTTTTTAAACTGTAAATAGATACAAGATTATGCTCAGCACCGTAAAATTATCATAAAAAAAATTTTAATTTTCAAAAGTAAACAGCAATTGCTGCTTCTAAATTAGAGATGCATCATACAAATATTTGGTATTTAGCCTATACTGCTGAAGGCAGAATATTAATTTCGGACGAATAATGGAAGAATCATCGGCCAAAGACAAAACTTAATTTGTTTACATCCATCTTTGTTGTTTTCTGCCCTGGGAAGGGTTTATTCAATTAACAAAACATTAATGAAGATAAACAAATTTATGAAGGGTCCGATTAAAAGAAAAATCATTTTGTGAAGGGTCTGTTTTTAAGTTATAATATTTCGTGAAGGGTCCGTTTTTATGAAAAGATATTTTGTGAAGGGTCCGTAAATAGACCCAAATTTCTCCTAAACAGACCCCTGGTTACTAAGATGAAAAGAAGGACAACAATGATGTAGAAGATGCTACAAAAGTTCCCCCAACTCAAACAGCCACTTTAGAAACACTAGAAACTCTTCATGATTATTGTAAATTTCATTATTGAAGTGAAGGCACTCTTTCACACTTTGATGAATCTAAAAAGATTTTCTGAAAAATCCCAAAAACAAACTTTGATTGTAAATTATGTCATGAGAAATTAGTAATAGGAATAAAAACAAAATTTGGGAATGAAAACATTCTGATTTTCTTTGTTTTTTTTTAAAAATTGTAATTCATTTTAAAATTAATTCATCACATTTTGAACCTTATTTAAATTTTTCAATCTAGTATACATAGTATTAATTAACAATATAATGTAGTGAAATATATTGATGTTCTATTTTTAAGCTCTTTATTATGACTTTTAACTTGTGTGCATATCTCACTTATACCAATTTTTCCCATTGTTCCCAGCCTCAACCCATAAATTAAAAGTCACTGTAATTGAATAATGTTTCCTAATTCATCAAGTTAGAAAATTCTACAGTTAATAATTCTGTAATATAAATGTCAAGTGCTCAACAAAACTACTAAAAAAAAGCTTACCTGAGACTTCCAACAAAAAGCATGTTGCGGAAAAACTTTGGGGGTGTTCTCTCCCATTTAACAGTTTTGTATAAGCCACATGGAAAACGTAAATGAAAATAGCCACAAACTCCACACATTAAAAGTTGAGCAGAGCCTATATACAAGCATAAAAACTAGATTCAAAATTATGTACAATGAGTATTTTAAACATTCAATGTTTTCAAAACCGTTCTTAAAAAAGAACAACAAAATAAATATAATTCATTTATCAAACAAAAGAACATTAAATTCAATGTAATTCATTAATTAAAACGAAACAAAAATAAAACATTTCTATTAGTTACTGAAAAAGAAATTTTAGTGAAAACCATTAAAGCTTTCCATTATAAATTATTGATTTGAAAGGATTGATTTGTTAAGCTAATAAGTTATAAATTTAATGTTATTATAATAATTAAGTTTTTTTTAATATATTTAGAATTGTATGCAGATATATGGGAGGTGAGTACATAACAAATTCAGAACCAAACTCTGTAGGCTTGAGAAAAATATCTAATTTTTGGAACTAATAAACCCCCAATAACAAAGGTTTCAATTTTGAATGAAAGAAATTAAGAGTTTTCTCCAAAAACATTACAAAAATAAAAAAATGAGTTAAATTGAAAACAATCATGCATCAAGAAATAAGGAAAACATAAAAATAAAAATTAGTATTTTCTTTAATTTCAAAAGCTTTTTCTTATCCTATAACTGGAACTAAAATCCTTAGAAATTACATAAAATATTAAATATTTGGCATCATTAACAATAGATATATAAAAATATTTTACAAAGATAAAAACATACCTAGAAGAGTTGGATCACCATGTTCATAAGATAATATATACTTATTTAAAAATAAAGTTGTAAAGCTGAAAAAATACCACAGGGCAATACAATAAAAGGCTTCAGATGATAAAAATACTTTGTAATCTTCAAATTTAAAATTATAGTTGGAATGTATCTTTTCATCGTCTTTTTCCTTCACATTTTGTTTCAATTCAGAACAGCCATCTTCACTGACAAAAGAAACTCTGTCATGTATAATCTCATATTGCTCAAGTTCTCGCATTTGATTGGATAAAACTTCAGGATTCATTTATTTTTTATACTTTAATAAATTTTGAAACCTAGAAAAACATTGAGAACATATAAAACTATGCTTATTAATAAAAGCTTTGCAAGAAAAAAAACAGCAACAAAAATAAAAGGAAATAAGGACAATTTTGCAATATTTTTTCTTTACTTATACATTTTCCACATTTAAATTTTCAAAAAAAAAAATAATAATAATAAATCAATTATAATTATTCATTTATTTCAGTTTTATACAGAATTTCACAATCTATTTAGCTTATAATTATAATTTATTTCTGAAATCCTTATTTCCCTAAATAAACATATACTACACTTAAATCAAGATGTATTATGCGTATTTAAATAACTTTTAGTTTTTATAGCATATTCTATATCAAAAAAAAATTAGTATTAGCTATGTAAAAATAATAATGTACAAAAAAACAAAATCAGCGTTACAAATTTTGATACAGAAATACCTTTAGAATATTATCTAAAAGTAATTTTGTGTATTCATACAGCTGATTTGCATTTTTTCTATTATTAATTCAAAACCTTTTTGTATTACTATTTATTTGTATACTCATTATTAAGTAAAGTCCTCAAAATTTTTCAATAATGTATTTGATTATGAAAATAAGTCTTTGAACAATGTGTGAAAACAATGCGGAATTTATTAGTTGAATTGTATTTTAACATGCCTTTTTTTTTTTTTTTTTTTAAAAAAAAAAACTTTTAAATCAGGTTTTATTTTATAATGATGACAAAAGATTGAGATCACTTGTTAATTCATAAAATAGATTTTATTAAAACCAATTGGTACTATAATACCTTTTTAAAAGAATATATAAGACTCATTAACACGTTCGCTGCCACCGACACACTAGCGCGTCAGAGTGGCACCTCCTCGTATGCCGACGACGCGCTAGCGCGTCGATCGACTATGATAAGCTATAAGCTCTGTCTTTAGTGTGGCTTTGGGAGTTGAGCGGAGAGATTGTTTCGGCACGGTGAAGCATTATTTTTTCATTTTTTGTGGTTGGTTCTCAAAACTTTTGTTTGAATTTTTTTATGTGCGTGACTGCCAATATCTGTATATTGTGCTTATTATTTGTAAATATTTCCAGTATTGTTTCATAAATGGTAAAACATATACTTGAATAATATTCCGATTTATTCCTTTTAAGCTGCTATTTTATGCAATATGCCAGTAATTTCTGAGAATATTGATCAGACGCACTGGAGCGTCAGTGGCACTCACGAAGAGAGGTTGAGTCTGTGTGCCACTGACGCTAAAGAGTGTAGGGAAAAAAAACGCTCTCTAAACAGGAAAATATGTTTCTTCGTTTTTCTGGTTTGCCTAGTAAAATATAAGGAACATTTAAACAATTAAAACCCTGTTTTGTAATCCGGCTTCTGAGGATGGAAATATCATTTTTAGTGGCAGCGAATGTGTTAATATAAAATATTTTTTTACCATAATTTAATAATTTTTAAATTTATACAATTCATATTTTTAACACTGTTTTAAAAATAGGCATTGAGAACATTACAGTACCATTAACAAACTTAGTTACATTGCAATCAAAATATTGTAGACTGTTAAATTATTGTGACACTGATGTTAATATTATTATAAGATATATGGTGAGATAAATTTAAACATTATTATGAATAAAGAAAATCTAATCTTCTAATTTAAAAATAAAAATTCGTGAAAGACTTATGTATTGGTACCAGCTCTAAAACAATTGCTACATTTTGATAACAATCCAGCAGAAGCAAGCAACAAATTAAAAAAAAAAGACAACCATATTGGAGGGATCCTGAATGGGGCAAGTCTTTACATATTTTGTTAAAAAAAATTCTAACCATAAGAACACCCTTGTACAAATGTTGTTGTGAACAAGTACAAATATGGGAATATTTGTCATTTTCAATCAAACTTAATAATTCTTAAAATAAAAAATTATATAAAAATTCATTACGTTTTTTTTTTTTTTTTCAAACCCAGCTATAGTTATTTATATAATTTTGATTACAATAATTTTAATTAGAATAGAAATTTGGCCTTGAGCTATATTTGGAACAATGTTTTGAAAATTAAAAAAACTTTGTTTAGATTTCTGTACTAGAACCTACACTACAATAATCACCAAAGTTTGGCAACTTTCAGAAAGTTCCAAAAAGTCACTAAGAAAAACATCACAGAATGTGGCAAATTTAAAAGGTAAAACCTGCAATCACCCTTGGGCCAATCACTATTTTTCTTCATATTAGAAGTTAAACAACCAGGAAATTTAATTTTTGGCTTGGCAATTTCAATTGGCTCAAACATGTACCAATATGAATATATATTAAGATATTTAAGATTGTGTCACTTGAACTACAATCACCAAGGTGCCAAATAGATTTAAAACTTGTCAATTTGAAAAGAAAGAAAAAAAACTTTTTAAGAGGTTTGTTCAGGGTAGCTACAAGTTACAACCTTCAAATTGGTCCCTTTCTGAGTTTTAATTTTATTTTTTTCATTTCTTAAGGCCACTGCCCAAAAATAGCTAAGACTCGGCAATTCATTTGGTGTAAATTACAGCAAGGAAAACTTCCAAAATAGCTTCTTTTTATTTCTTGTGCTAAATTAAACAGCTTGTTAAAATTTCATTGCAATAATCACATAACATACAATGGAGCCTATTTATAGTGAAAACTAATATGAGATTCCTAGTAGCAAAAAGTCTTCATTTTGAAAATTTTGGTCAAATCAGACTTTACGAGGCTCCTGATTTAAAGAACATATTGCATAAGTTTCTATCTTCTCTTTCATAAAGAGTTTAACTGTAACAGTAAAAAATTATAATTAGAAGCTACCATGAATAACAGCGTTTACTAACATGTACATTAAAAAAAATAATAATAAAATTGAGAGAGAGTCAACACAAACGGAAAAAAAATTCATTTTAAACTCACATATCGATAACTTATTTTAGTATTTTTTAAGAACAATTTGATATCGTCTCTCACGCCAGCAGCAAACACCAAGGAGACAATAAATTTAAACTTTAAAAAAAAAAAAAAAAAAAAACCTGTAAAGGTTTACCCATGGGTGGCTTCGAATTATACCTCTAGAGATGGTACCCTTATGCAGTGTTTTCACTACAGCGCGAGAACGCGAGAATCTCGCATATTTTTTTCTTTTCTCGCATTAAAAAATGATAACCGCGAGAAATTCGCGTATTCTATAAACCAAATTCTATAAACCAAAAAAATTTCTCATTTGCACCATTTAGAATAAAATCCGTTTCACTTTTCTTCCTGGATCTTTTATTATTTTCCACATCTGCCCCATTATCTAGCTTCCCTATTTACCAGTATTGTTCAGAACCTTTAAGAACAACAGAACACCATCCTTCAGAACCATGGAACCTCTTTCAGAACGCATTTCTCTGCAACCACGTGTTTACCGTAGGTAAGGTTTCTTCATGTAAGACGTTAAAAGTTTTTGCTCGTTAATGTAAGATGGACAAATACCTTGTAAAGCCAATATCTTCTACTCCGAAACGGACAAATGAAAATGAAACAAATGTGGGTAGAAGCGATCAAAACGAAACAAATACGCATTTGAGCAACCTAATGAGAATAGCTGATGAAAAAGTAGATGTAGAACATTTTCCATAGGATGATGCAGCAAAAATATTCAATGCTTTAAAAATTAGAAGATGTTAAAAATGCATCATAATTAAAGAAATTTTATTTTTTTTCAAGTCTCTTTACGTGTTTTTTTTTTTAATTTTTGAAATCTCACTTAACTTTTTGAAATCTCACCCTGTTTTTGAGAAAGGGTGAGAAATTCTCACCCATTTTTTTTCTGAGATGAAAACACTGCCTTATGTGATGATTTTCTTTTAGAATCTGACTGGAAGTTGCCAAAACTTGGCAAATTATTCTGCCGCAGATCACAAAACGGGTATCTACCCCTTTCTTTTTTAATGTTAATCATTTAGAATTGATATCTAATTTAGTAATATTTTCAACTGTTCCGCGTAGCTTTGAACTTGAAGATAATTAGTTAAATTTTAAACCCAGAACCCCATCAAGTTGGTGCCTGTAGTGAATCCCTTAGCACGTAACTCATTAAAATAAATTTTCTCCTATTGAAAATTGCAAACTTGACTTGTATCGCGGTAGAAATTATGAAGTTTACGGCAGAAAGCTTGCTCCATGTATGCCACTGTTTAAAACATAGCTCCTATGAAATCTTATAATAAAAAATAAAAACAGATATGAAATAGAATTAATTACTGAGAGAAAGTCAGTAACTAAGTTAAATGTAAAAATGTCAATGAGATAATAGCAATGATATTGTGAAAAGGAAATTTGATTCAATAATCGATATTTACAGTAATACATACTTAAAATTGGAAATCAAAAAACTGTATTCTAATTTGTTTTCGTGTGACATCAATGCGAAACCGACAAACAACAACTACCTGCTGAATCGAATTTTATGCTTTGTTGACATAACAAAACTCGTCTCCTACTAAAAAGAGCGAAAGAGTGACAGTTACAAGTTGGTCCTCACTTAAAAATTCTACTAATACCATTACGAGACCATTTTAAGGACCATTCTTGCTGCATACTATTTACACTAGCACACCTCCAGTCTACGTCTAAAAATATCAGAAACTGATTGATTGATTTTATTGAAATTACATACATTTGCTGACTTGTGTGCTCAATATAGGCTTATAAGTCATTGTCAAGTAGAAAACACAGATAGAACAATTCAGAGAAAGACATCACAAAGAATACATCCAGGGTTACGGCGGGATTCGAACCCGCTACCTCCACGCTTAGCAGAGCGTTTGGACCGGCGATACCGCTCGGCCAGGGAGGCCCCTCAAAAACTGTTTCATGAAATATGAATAGGTATTTCAATAAAGAGGTAAGCATAAGCAAACGCCCGGAAATAGATCGAGAATGGTTTCGGTATGAAAGTTGCCACTAGTTTATTGGTGTGATATTTTATAAGTTTTTTTTTTCCGAACATTGTTGTTGTTGTTGATTTACGTCGCACTAGAGCTGCACAATGGGCTATTGGCGACGGTCTGGGAAACATCCCTGAGGATGATCCGAAGACATGCCATCACAATTTTGATCCTCTGCAGAGGGGATGGCACCCCCGCTTCGGTAGCCCAACGACCTGCGCGCGAAGTCGAGCACTTTACGGTAGCACAGTTTAACGAGGACCAATACCGCACACCCTCGGTCCCTACGCAGACTGATCCAAGTGGGTCACCCACCCGCACACTGACCGCAGCCAGTGATGCTTGACTTCGGTGATCTCATGAGAACCGTGTCTTAACGATCAGTCCACTGCGGGACTTCCGAACATAGAAGAAATTATGATTTGGATTTCAAACTTTTTTACCAACATGTGTCAAGCATCACTGCCTGCGGTCAATGTGCAGGTGAGTGTGAACTTTGATCAGCCAGCGATAGGACCAAGGGTGGGCGGTATTGGTCCTCGTTAAACTGTTCTACCGTAAAGTGCTCGACTTCGCGCTCTGGTCATCGGGCTACCGAAGTGGGGGTGACATCCCCTTTGCAAAGTATCAAAGTTGTTATAACTTGTCTTCGGATCATCCATAGGGATGCTTCTCAGACTGTCTCCAATAGCCTGTTGAGCAGATCTAGTGCGACATAAATAAAATAGAACAACTACAACAAACTTTTTTACCATTCATAATATATTTACTGTATCACTTGATAAGTCCCCCAGTGGACGGATCATAAGGTAACGGCTGAGATCAGAAAGCGCGGTTGCCTGCAGATCACCAATGTCAAGCAACAGTGGCTGCAGTCAGTGTGCGGGTGGGGTGACCACTTGGATCAGCCTGCGTAGAGATAGAGGGTGTGCGGTATTGATCCTCGTTAAACTGTTCTACCGTAAAGAGCTCGACTTCGTGTGCAGATCGTCGGACTACCGAAGCGAAGGTGCCATCCCCTCTGTGGTGGATCAAAATTGTGGTGGCATGTCTTCGGATCATCCTCAAGGATGTTTCCCAGACCGTCGCCAATGGCCCTTTGTACAGCTCTAGTGCGACGTAAATGAACCACATGAGCTACATTAACATCAGAAAGCGGGTGAATGACCACATTGATCAACCTACGTAAGGACCATGGTTGCAGGAAATCGGTCATCGCAAAGTGCTCGATTTCGCGTGCAGGTCGTGGGGCTGCAAAAGCAGGGAGCCATTCCCTTTGCAAAAAATCAAAATTAAGATGGCATGTCTTAGGATCATCCTCGGGAAATTTTCTCAGACCGTCGTTATATTGAAGATTTGTTAATATTAAAAAATATAATTTATTTTTATTGGTGAGTAAGTGAGTTCTGCCTCTCTTTACTGATGCTGTTTATTATGATTCATCTAAGAAATAATTGTTAATTTTTCACTTTAGATATTGATTAAGTATAACACCTGCATCATAAACAGAGCAAACCAATTTTTTTTTTACTGTTAAAATTACTCTTTTATTTTGTTAATAAACTCCTTTGTGGCAGAGCTTCTAATGTAAGGTATTTGTTAATATTTTTACAAATACACATTACTATTAAGGTATTTTGTCTAATAAGAGTAAACTTTATTTATTTTCACATATTTGTTAAACTTTTTGAAATGTTTAAGTCAGGTTTTGATAATATTCTTTTTTTTCTTCTTTTCTTTGAGTCTTATTTTTTTGGGTGAGTCTGCTCTCTCTTTAAAGATAATATTTGTTATAATTTATATCAGAAATTCTTGATTTTTTACTTTAGATATTAAATAAGTATGATGCCTGTTTCATAAACAGAGAAGAAAAATAAACTGAAATTTCTTAATGTACATTAAAATTTAGTAGTGTCTGTTAATAAATTTCTGGGTGGCAGAGTTTCGAATATTAGGATTAAGCTAATATTTTCACAAATACACATTATTTTTTCATAATTTTGTCTATTTAGAGTAGAATTAATTTATTTCGTGCATATTTACAATGCATATTTTTTCAAATGTTTTAGTTAGGTTTTGATAATATTTGTGTAAAAATGTCTTGTATTCTGCGGTTAAACGTGCTTCTCTTTAGCAATAATGTTAACAATGCTTCTCTTTAGCAATAATGTATTAAATGAAGTAATTATTTCATTTACTACTCAGAGCATCGATATACGTAAGTATAAGTATATCAATTATCAATAAATGTCAAGTTTACTACTAAGTATTGCATATTTATTCAATTTCTTTTATTCATTATGTAAGTCAATTTCATCAAATTTTGAGAAAATTTTTGTACAAGTATAAATTGAGACTGTTTAAAGATTTAAAAAAATCTTTGCATGCATTTACAGATGTATAAAACCAGTTTTCGGAGAATGTAAACGAAATTTTTTAAAAGTACTTTGGATACGCAGGTATTTGATAACTCCTTTAATTTTTACCTGATTTAGCTATAAATTTGTTATATACAGTAACTATAAATCATAGATTTTTTAAAATTACATTACTTTTTTAGACTAATTAAATTATAGTCCCAAAATACATTTTTTTGATAGCTTCTTAAATATAATTTTTTAGAATATATTTAGTGTGACTAAAACTAATATATATCACGTCATGCTTTAAAATTAAGTCTTTAGGCAGAAGTTAATAAGCTGACCAGTTAATATCTGCTGAAAGGTGTGTCTTCGAATTATTGACTTTGTTTCAAATAATATACTTTCACATCTAGTCAAAAAAATTTAGAGAAGTGCAACAAGAAAAATAAATAAATAAAAATTATTTAATTAAGAAATTTACTACGGAAAAGCAATCCATATCAAGAAATTTATAAAGTAAAAATAAACTGTTTATTGAATCAGGTGTTCATTTTCTCAACTAGACTGCTGTTATCATTAATTTAAAAGATATTTCCCTATAAAATTGTTCCGCAATTAATAATTGTTAACAATTTTAAATTATTTATAATACTAATGATTAACAACACAGAAAATCACGAAAGAAACGATTTGTCCCCTTGCTTTCTAGTATCACTTGGAAACAATCATCTCACAAAGAGTATTTCAATGGATAATGTGATGATCATCCATGGCAAACTGACCATGGACTTAGAACCCATGCTGAAAGTAATAGATCTTTTACTAAATCCATAGAAATATGTTATCAATGTACACCGCGAAGATACGAATAGCTTAATAGTTTGTATTTGTGATAAGATTTTCTAAACACATATATGTGATAGTAACTTTTAGTATTACATGTGTGACAGAACTTCAGATGTACTTTCGACACTTTATATATTTGATTTACATTTTAATGTGAATAAAGATTTATTCTGATACAATTCGCAATTATTGATTTCAGAAAAGTTTTAAACACCAATGTAAATTAACCCTTAAATAGATTTAAAACATAAAAACACTTTTGTATTAATTCAAAAAAACACTTTTGTATTAATTCAAAAAAACACTTTTGTATTAATTCTGTTTTAATGACTTAAAAACACAAACAGGACAAAATCTTTAATAACATTCATTTTGATATATGTACACTATTTTGATCTATGTATACTAGAGTAGCAAAATCAACATAAATAAGATGTAAGTAAACAACATAAATAACATTGTGATCCCAGCGAAATCCACAATTTACTGAATAAAAATGGAATTAGTGAATCATATCTATCCCGATTCAAAGTTCAGAAGACCAGTTTTCTAACAAAATAATACCATTCAAAATAAAAAGTTCATTAAGATATGCAACGGAATATAAAAAGATTGATTGACTATGATATACTCAAAACTATGTTTAATATATATATATATATANAACTTGTTTGAAACAATACCACTAGTCAATATTCATATTTAGTAAAATGAAACAATAAATAAAATGCATCATTTTACTTACTGTCGGAAACGTTTCTAAAATAAAATCGCAACTTTAACCGAATGAAATAATTCTCTCCATTCAAAACAAACAGATAAAATCTTTATTTAAAACCTTAAAATAAACTCAAAAGTAGTTTGTTTCTCAAGAATTCCATACACCAGATACACATTTGTTACCACATCCGTCATTGCAGCACAAAAGAGGACTTTTGCAATCTGAATGATTTATACATTCATCAACAGGGCTCCACTGAGTGAAAAAACTGCAGAGTCTATTTGGAACTGGAGGACAAGAGCGAACTAGGATGGAAAAGAAACTATTAATAATTAAAAATCATTGAAATTGAATTCAAAGTAGAATTTTATGGCAAAAGCAACTATAATATGAACTAGAAGGAATATATATATATATGCTTTAAAATATAAATCTTATGCTTTGAAATAAATCAAAACACACAAGCATAAATAAAACACTAAATCTTAAGTAATATTAATCATTTTAATGCAGGTATTAAATAAACATTCATTTCTAATCACGTGGTGACATGACATTACAAATCACACGAAATACTCTTACAGAGATCCCGCAGTGGACTGATCGTTAAGACACGGTTCCCAGCAGATGACCGAAGTCAAGCATCACTGGCTGCGGTCAGTGTGCTGGTGGGTGACCCACTTGGATCTGTCTGCGTAGGGACCGAGGGTGTGCGGTATTGGTCCTCGTTAAACTGTGCTACCGCAAAGTGCTAGACTTCGCGTGCAGGTCGTTGGGCTACCGAAGCAGGGGGTGCCACTCCCTCTGCTGAGGATCAAAATTGTGATGGCATGTCTTCGGATCATCCTCAGGGATGCTTCCCAGACCGTCGCCAATAGCCCATTGTGCAGCTCTAGTGCGACGTAAATGAAACTACAACTACAACAACTACGTTTACAGAGTGATCAAATAGATCACATATTAATCCTTAAATTGCAATATTGTAAAGTAAATTTTTAATTAAAACCGCGTCACAATTTTGAGTTTAGCACACCATCTTTCGCAATCTGTATGTAATATTCGAAATAAATTTAGAATATTAGTTAAAAACACTATTTTAAAAATTCGCTATTTTAAATTTGTTGGACCCTTGCCTCCCAGACTCCAACCATTGATTGTTTGTTTACAATCAATGCCTGTGCCCCATAAAGAACTCAAAACTGCGTTTAAACATATTTCTTAAGAAAAGCGACCTGAATATTTTAGAAATTATTTTTGACGGTTAAATACAAAAATTATATGGAAGAGGAAAATGTCGTTGCACATTCTCATAAAACTGGAAAGAGGAGGAGAGTTAAGGGCGGAGGGTCAAAACATGGAACTGATCTTCGGATGAGGCATTCGAGCGTTGCGATCGCTTGAAGTAATAATGCTACTTAAAGGGGTGTTCCCACTAGATGCAAAACACTCGTGGAAGTGAATTTGGAGATGTGAGCGAGAGCCCGATTGGCATGTTTTGCGCAGTTAAATATATTTCATTGAAAGAATTCGCATCCGCTACTTTTTTGCATTCTTTGTGAATGGTCCTAAGAGGGGAGGCAGAGTGGTAAAAGATGATGAAAGGAAATAGCACTACTTTGTCATTACGAAAACTAAAAAGTTCAAAAAATTATAACTAGCACTTTTATAATTTTCTGTTCGATTAAAATATTTCGATGTATGAATTAAATTGCATTGGGGGCCATAAATTTTTTTATTTTTCTTAGCAAAAAAATTCTCAGCATCGAAGTTCCACTATACAATTTCAGAAATAAAACTGAATTTTAGATAAATTGCTGTATTCAAGTGTTTCATACACGCATAGCTTTTAAATTTAGCTTCTTTTCATACCTGCTTGCAAGATTTGATTGCGTGAATATATTTTAAAAGAAAGCATAGTTTTTTGAAGGATGAAAATCTTCGAGAAAATCTACCTTGCATCCGATGATGACCCACGGAAATTCGTCGCTATGCTGGAGAAAAGTTTAATTGAGCGCCGAAATAAATTGCAGTATTTTATTTACGTCGTACTAGAGAAGTGTGATAGGTCACTGGCGCTAATCTGAAAAACATCCCTGAGGATGATCCAAAAACCTACAATCACAATTTTTATCATCTGCAGAGGGGATTGTTCCTCCATTTCAGTAGCTCGGTGACCTGCGCGTGAAGTTCAGCACTTTATTGTAGAATAGTCTAAGAGATACCGTGCACCGTCAGTCCCGTCACCCACCCGCTCACTGACTGCATCCATTGATAGTTGGGTTTCGGTGACCTACTGTGAACGCATTTCCTTTCTATCGCATATGCGAATAGTAGGCAGTGAGAAAACTCCCTAAGGATCATATCAATTTATTTCGTGTCGCACAAGTCCCGCAGTGGACTGATCGTTTAGACACGGTTTCCAGCAGATCACCGAAGTCAAGCATCACTGGCTGCGGTCAGTATGAGGGTGGGTGACCACTTGGATTAGTCTGCGCAGGGACTGAGAGTGTGCAGTATAGGTCCTCGTTAAACTGTTCCACCGTAAAGTACTCGACTGCGCATGCAGGTCGTCGGGCTACCGAAGCGGGGGTGCCATTCCCTCTGCGGAGGATCAAAATTGTGATGGCAAGTCTTCGGATTATCCTCAGGGATGCTTCCTAGACCGTCGCCAAAAGCCCATTGTGCAGCTCTAGTGCGACGTAAATGAACAAATCGAACAAATCAATCGTGTCGCACATTGAATTGATCGTTAGACGCGGTTCCCAGTAGAAAATCAAATTAAAGCATCACTGCTAAAAAATGCTGGACTTTTAATTTTTACTCACACTTTTATTGAAGTAGTTTCACGTAGCAAAATATTACACCAAGAAATTTCTGCAAGCATTTTTTTGTGCATACATTACTTGTTTTAAGAGCCTTAGATATATCTAAAAAACTTGCATGTCAACTAATTTTAAATTTCTCAAAGGGAAACTTGTTTGAAACAATACCACTAGTCAATATTCATATTTAGTAAAATGAAACAATAAATAAAATGCATCATTTTACTTACTGTCGGAAACGTTTCTAAAATAAAATCGCAACTTTAACCGAATGAAATAATTCTCTCCATTCAAAACAAACAGATAAAATCTTTATTTAAAACCTTAAAATAAACTCAAAAGTAGTTTGTTTCTCAAGAATTCCATACACCAGATACACATTTGTTACCACATCCGTCATTGCAGCACAAAAGAGGACTTTTGCAATCTGAATGATTTATACATTCATCAACAGGGCTCCACTGAGTGAAAAAACTGCAGAGTCTATTTGGAACTGGAGGACAAGAGCGAACTAGGATGGAAAAGAAACTATTAATAATTAAAAATCATTGAAATTGAATTCAAAGTAGAATTTTATGGCAAAAGCAACTATAATATGAACTAGAAGGAAAAGAAATTTAACTCCTTTGAAATGTAAGACTTTCGAAGTGATTTATATGTTGGTCTATAAAATTAGTTTAAAATAAAAGTATACACAATAGAAGTCTCAAATGCATATTTATGTAAGGAAAAAATTACTACGCTCTCAAATTATAGCGAATCTCGACTGAGGCAAGGACTGAAATTATCAAAATCAGGTGATCGGATTAAACAGGGGAATTGTAGAACTTATTAGAAACTATCTTTCATCATTCACCAGGCAAATAAACTAGTTTTGATATTTCCCCTTTCACCTTCCTAAACAGCGATCCCTAAATTCGCTACCGTTTTATTCTTAAGAATAAATAGTAATTTGAGATCCTTATTGCACACTTTTTTTACATCATTAAAAAGGGTCTAAAAATGTCCATTAAGGGTGATGGTTAAGGAACCCCCTGTATATTTGATGCTTATATAGTTTGACAAACACACTTTAGAATATTTTTGCAAAATATATTAATCATAATTTTTTTGAGGGGAGGGTGGATCTGGAAAGAACCTTAAGGGCCCTTCTCTAATAGTCTTGGATTTTAGCTTTTAAATTTCCTTATATTACGTTTTTTTTCCTTCCCTTTTAAGCTTTATGATCGAATATGATTCGGTAGAAAAATGCTTTTAATCACTATATTTTTTCATTTAAACATACGAAAACAGATTTGATGCTGAAAAATTCTAAACGTGAATTATTTAAACTTGCAAGCGTATGATTCGTAATCTTTCTAAAACTGCTGATTTTAGAATTTTATATTTGTTAGAAGAAAAAAAAATCAGTTTTTTATTCATTTTTAGAAGAGTGTTTATAAAAAGTGGTAACTTATATTTTACGGGAATTTTCTGATAGCTGCGAATTCTCTTAAAATATAGTTTGATCAGATTACTAAATCTATTTTTAATTTCTATTAGATGGTGAGTCACGGGTACATTAATTCATTTAACATCAGACAAATCAATTCAATTACCACCAAATTTAATTTTTAAAAAGCATTCTAAAAAGTTTAGAACTCAGACCTCTGAAAATATCGGAAATTTCTAGAATAACACCAGATTATCCTCTTTCTTTTTACACGCCTCATAGGTAATTTCTGAGTTGAGTATCTATCAATCATTTATTTGTTGTGTAGATGAGAAATAATATCTCCCCATTTGGCAATTTAGTTAGCTTACAAGCGAAGAGGCCTTATAAATTTAACCAAATGAGCAAATTAGTTTTATGAGCCATTCCGTAAAAATATAAATTTAGTTAAATCATTTGAACTAAATTTCGTTTTATTATTCAGGGTAACCGTAGTTAAAGTATTTGTTACGACTTTGCTTCAAAAACTATGCTGCAAATTTTGATGCAAATTTGGTAGTGGCTTGTAGAAACAATGGTAATTATATCTAACAAAATTAAAAAGAAAAACATTGGTTGCTTGTTTTAGTTGTGGAGATCCCATCACGTTTTCCCTTGAAACTAAAATAGCATACCTGCCAACTTTCAATCCTAACGAGAAAGATTTTTCCCAGTGGTAGTAAAATAGCATTTGATTTGCTATTTTATGCCGAAACGTACGTTGTATTTTGAAAAATTTAAAGCGATTTATCTCACGAATATTACATATTTTTTTATATGCTTAAATTTTTTAAAAATAGTTGGTCAAAAAAATAATAATTTAAATTTATAAATGCAAGGTATATATAGAAAGCATACCTTTTACTGCCACTTTAAATATAGAAATAAAATTTTACGCCAAATGCGTAAAAGTTGGCAGGTGTGAAATAGTATAGCATTCCATGTGCGTACGATTTCCGTGCTTCACTACTTTCCGGCTATAACGACCGAACAACTTCCAGATAACAGCAGAAAGTGATAAACACCAAGCTGAATGTATTTTGAAAACACAAAATTAAAATTTACATACTTTTTTATTTCCACGACCTCTTTGTAAAGCCATTATGGGTGGTGTTAGAAGCCAATTTTTTTTGCTAGACAAAATTCCCAGAATTATATAACATTTTCCGATTATTATGACATTGTTGCATAGATTTTGACAAGGACAGCTCAAAATTCCAACTTTAATTGTCCATTTCTGTATTGTATTTGCGCTTTATTCACGTTCTTTTATCAAGTATAAACGCACCATACATTAAAGTAAATAAAAATTAATCTAAGAAGACAGTCACTTACCCTTGCGCTGTACATCATTGCAATCATTCTCTATAAAACATTGGTGAACACATTTTTGTAGTTTTTCATAACAATTACTGCAGGAAGTGCTCATATTTGCCATCAAATCAAATGCTGTTTGTCTTTTTTGGCCCACATTTGAGTTCTTTTCAGGCGGTGTAATTATTCCTTGACGTTTTGTTAATACAGTTGGTTCTGTTGAAGCCACTAAATCTTTCGTTGGCAAAGTAGTTAAGGTAGTTTCTTCAATTCGATTTATCAACATTGTTGTAGCTTCCCATAAGCCATGTTCAATAGCTTTCACAACATGTTCTGTATTTTCATTTATGGCCCCTTCTGACAACGGATCTTTTGGATCAAGAAGGCCTGTTTTAGCATGAGCCCAAAAATTACGCAATGCTGATAATATTGGGGTGCCTTCAGCACTACTCCAATTAATACCAACTTCCGGTGCTGTTTCGTTTGTTTCATCTTCCAAATGTATCAATTGTTCAAAAACTTCGGAAAACAATGTAGTCATTGCAGTAACCTCTTCTATACTGGTAACATTTTCCTCTATATCTGATGTATTAAACAGAAAAGGAAACTCTAGAAAAAAAAAATGTATTAAATTCATACTTCATGGAGTTTCTTATAACTAAAGATTTTTACCCATTGGAACAATAGCGTATAAATTTTGCATTTCTGGGTTAATAATTTTAACTTTAAACGACTTTTGACCACTCCATCAATATTTAAAAAAACGTAACCTTACAGACTTTAAAGAATGAATAATAAACTTAATGCCAAAAAGTGAAAGCCAAGTTAGTTCTAAGTCATGTAAAGTTAATTAAATTTCAGTTCACTTCCTCTAAGAAATATATTCCACATATTAGTGTAAAATTTACTATTTACAGTTTAAGCAATTTAAAGCCAGATGCAGTTATCAAAGAAAGTTTAAATTTTCATTTCTCCATATCTGTTTAAAAGATTCTATTTAAATTCCGCTTCTTTATTTGAAATTTTATAGTTTCATGATGATGTACAATTTTGAAGCTTAACTAAATATTTTTTTCGATGATAAATAAATTAAAAATAAAGAGATTTTTTATATAGAATTAATTTTAGATAAACTAGTTTTATAATTGTGTAAAACGTAAAGTTTTAACGCTTAAATAGTCAAGAGATGTGGCAAAAATTGCCAAAATAAAATCAGTATTGAGGGGTCCAAACTAACGACCGCTTTCCATATTAAAGCATTGGGACCATATTTTACAGTAGCTGGAGGAGTTCATCGGAAAGAGTAAAAGCTTATTCGAAAAAGTCATTGAGCAAAAAAAAAACCTCGCATGCATTTAATTAACATATTTAAGGTCTACTCTGAACAATTTAGCACTTGACAATCTGATTACTAGGAAAATGTATTCAGTATGTTCCAGTTTTCAAATTTTAGCTTTTTATTTGAATTGCTTCTGATTTTTTAAAAAGTCGAATTTACAGAATTCATTTTTCGGGAGTTATGCCAATTTCGTTTACATTTTGGAAAATTTAGTTATTTTTAAAAAAAAATTATGTAAAATTGTACCTTATAATTCAAAAATAATCACCAAATTAAAAACGATGCAACTAAGAATTTAAAAATACGTATTTTGCTTATGGTCATCTTGGGATAAATTTTTTTCTTTTAACTGCATTAAAAAATTGTAAAAATAGTTCCTAAGATATGGAAAAATAAACAAAAAGTGAAAATTATCATAAATGTATGCCGAACATGAGGTTACTCTCTTCATATTTTGAAGTTGTTCAACGTACCAAAAACAAATCAAACATACCATTTTGAAACATACCAAAATTCCCTGTTCATCTTTTGAAAAAAAAAATTTTAAAATTTGGAGAAAACAGCTAGAAAAAATTTAGTTGCAGTTAATACCAAAATTTTTTTTTAATTTTTTTTATAGGAGTATCTTAATATAACAGTTAAATAAAAATGGGTTCAAGTTTACTTTTATAGGGAAATTGAGCATTAATAGCTATGAACCAGAGTTTAGAATTTTTTCGATCTTAATGACGACTAAATTGTTAATTTGCAGTTTTCAACCGATATTTCTAAAGAAATAAGAGTTTCAAGATAGATAAATCACATTTATTTAAATTTAGAGAATCCTAAAAACTTTCCTGCTCTATAGAATTGTAGCCCTACAAATTTGTGTCTTGAATAAAAAATTGTAAAATGAGACGTTAAATAAATAATTTCAACCACAAATAACAGATAGTTGAAATTTGAATTAAAATTAATGAATCCAGAAAGCTTTAATCATTTTTTTTGAAATAATTCTAATTTTTAAGCAAAGTTTTTTCGTGAAATTGTATATGAAAGTGAGTGCTTTTTTCAGAATACAATGCATTAGCGATATGAGAATTGAGTTAAATTAAGAGAAAAAAATTTAGAAAATTTCTAAAAATTAGAGTGCAAATTTTGATTATCGTAAGTCATACAATGCACTGACTACATAGAAACCAACTACTTTTTAAAAATACAAAACTAAAAATATTTTATAAAAGAGTATCATTAAGAGTATCACTCACCAAAAGTATCATTAAGTGAAAACCTAAGAAAATTGTAGCAAAACTGATTTCAATTTCCTTAAATCTTTTCTCCACGATCTGGGAACTATGGTCTCCATAGTTTTGAGAGCGGTCTTAAGTTTGCGTTCCTTAATAATAATTTTACTTTTTGCGTATATCATATATCGAGAACGTTATAAGTGAATTTAAAAATTTTTGTACACAATTATAAAATTAGTTTATCCAGAGATAATTCTATGCTAACTTTTAGTAAATAAGTATTTTCTTAATAACCGAAAAATCTTTAATTGTATGGTATATTATTTTTTACAACAATTTAAAGTGAAGTTTAAAATGAAAAATGCAAAATTTGAGCGAAATCTGTCGAATGGTTTGAGAAATCAAATTTTTAATATACGATATTTTTAAAAGAAAGTCATACATTTGAAATTTGATTTCTCAGGAATTATTAGATTTCGCTCAAATTTTGCATTTTACCATTTAAAATTTCATTCTATAAAATTATGTAAAAAATTTTGTACCTTACAATTTAAAATTTTTCGACTATTTAAAAAAATTATAAATATTCAAATTTATTTTTTGTATTGAATAATATTTTGACAAACGAATTTTATAATTGCGTGCAAAAAAATTTCAATTGACTTAAAAAGTTTGAGAAATGGCGAAATACGCAAAAAGTAAAATTAACATTAAAGGGTCCAATTTAAGAATCGCTCTCATGGCCAAACTATGGGAACAATATTTTCGAGATTGCTGCTATCCCCTATATTTTAGCGATCAGAAATCCGAATGCATCGAAAAAAATGTATGCTTATTCAAAAAAGTATGTGATTTCATAACTTAAAATGTCGTCTGCACTTATTAATTAGCCTATTTGAGGTCTCCACTTTGAGCCATTAAGATGGAATCCTAGAACGTGAAGATCCGATCATTAGATCAAAAGTTATTCATTGTGGTCCGGTTTTTTTTTGGCTCACTTTACAATAACACCCTTATGAAACTGAAGCATGCTAAGATTAAATAAAATATTTACTATAAGCTACATTTTGCATGGAATTCGGATTCCATAATTGTGCAAAAAATTTTCAATCATCTTAAAAAGTTCGATGATACGCAAAAGATAAAATTAAGGGTTCCAAACTTTCGACTGCTCTACTGAACAAATTAGTGGGGCCATATTTCGGAGATTGCGGCTACCCGCTATATTTTGAGAGTTAGAAATCGAATAAAGGTATGTTTATTCAGAGAAAGCAAAAAAAAAAAAAATTTAAGCACTTTAATGACGTTTTAACAGAACACCTTAACCGATTTATCTTGTACTAAGATGCAATTTTAGTGGTTCAAATCAATATGTTCCTCAAATATGCTAAATATTTTGCGTAGACGATATTCAAAGTTGCTAAACCAGACGCAAAAAAGTATTTTCTCTGAAGAAACATACCTTATTTTTCGACGAATGTTAATTTTTATCTCAAAATATGAAGGAGGATATAGCCGCAATCGGGAAAACATGTTACAAAAAATTGAGTCAAGAAAGTGGACAAAGATTTTACCCATTTTATTTTTCGTGCATTTTTCATACCTAGAAATATCCAAGCGAATCGAAAACATTAGTTCTAAGATGAAAGTATTTATATTTTGCAATTGTTAATTTTCGTTATTTAATTTAATAGTCCACAAGATATTAAGTTTTAAGGTAGAGTTTTAAATAACAAAATCCAAAATATAGACGAAATTAGTCAAATAGTGTCTTTGTAGTGAAATTTCAAAAATATAATTTTGAAAGACTTTCTTGGGAATCATAGTTTGTTCAAATTTTGGAATTTGTAATTTAAAATTATATAGTTAAGAAAACTTTAAAAATATGTAATACAATTTAATTTTTTTAAAGTGAAAAAAAATATTTTATTTACATGGAAATTTTTTGGGAAAAATTAGCTTTGCAATTGTGTACAAAGTTTTTTTTTTTTTTAGATTAGTTTGAATAGTTTGAGTTAGGGCAAAATACGAAAAATGTATATCAAGGGAACTAAACTTTCGAACGAATTCCTGACTAAACTATTGGGACCATATTTTCTAGATTATGACTATTCCCTAATTTTGAACGTTTGAAATTAGAATCTAAATTAATATATTTAAGTTTCTCAAACAATTTAACGCAGAAATTTCCGCTTATTAGTTCAAAAGTTTAAGAATTTGTTTTCACTTTGCACATTGTACAAGTTATTTATTTAAAGAAGCGAGTGTAATCAAAGAAATCTTCTATACGAAAGCAAAATGCGTGAAGCTATAAATATTCCTTTCTGAAAAGTTTCGAAACTTTTTGTAAAAAAAGGAGCACTGCACTTAAAAATTCAACACATGTACTGAATACTAAATATGCCTTATACTGTACTGTCTGTTTCATTTTATCAGAGTACACATACCTCTTATTACAATGATAACAACAACGGCTGAGAAAGCAATGAAAACAAAATGGACGTATCGCATTTTCATTCAATAATTTACGTTATATTCTATTATTCCAAATCGTATGAAGTCTACAAATGCAGAACAACGTCAGGAAGTTGCGTACATACCTCGAACCATAGCACTAAACACCGTAGTTTGAGGAAACACAAATAGTATTATTAAAAAATTCATTTTGATTAAATTTTACAATAACTTTCTTTTAAAACTACTAACGCGGAGTATCATAAGCCACCTTCGCTAAAACCGAAACAACAAAATGAATTTTAGTGAAGAAATGTAGTTGTCTATTCGTGTTATTACTGATTGGTTTAGTGTATTATTGCATGTTTTCCGGCGCCTTATTTCTGCCTTACGGGCTTTTTCCGTTGCGGAAGTTTTGAGCTATCGAACAAAAAGGCGTAAGTTCGTACCTCCAATTCACCGAAGAATAATGACACTTCAATGCAAATAGTTGTTGTTGTTAATTTACGTCGCACTAGAGCTGCACAATGGGCTATTTGCGACTGTCTGGGAAAACATCCCGGAGGATGATCCGAAAACATGCCATCACAATTTTGATCCTCTGCGGAGGGAATGGCACCTCCGCTTCGGTAGCCCGACAACCTGCGCGCGAAGTCGAGCACTTTACGGTAGCATAGTTTAACGAGGACCAATATCGCACACCCTCGGTCCCTACGCAGACTGATCCAAGTGGTTACCCACCCGCACACTGACCGCAGTCAGTGATGCTTGACTTCGGTGATCTGCTGGGAACCGTGTCTTAACGATCAGTCCACTGCGGGACTCAATGCAAATAGAGAGCATAGGCATTAACATGAAGAACTGTAGAATTTGTACTGATTTTATTCAGAATTAGATGCCGGAAAGAACTTTTCCCTAGATTCAAGTAAGCATTTAGCATGAAGATCCAACATTAGAATTTCATCGTTAAAGTTACACCACCAACACGTTGTTAACATGTTCTGCTCTCTTAGTTCTGCAATCAAACACTTGTATGCTATTCCCTTGTAAGCGCTGGTTTTTAAAACAAGCTTTTGTGCTTCATATAAATCTGCACCAAACCCACCGTATGCATCAAACCGACCGTAATTTTAGTCTGTTAACCATAAAATGAATACTGGGCTAGTTTGCAGGTCGCTGTCGGGAACTAATCTTTTGGGGGACAGGCCATACATTATGACATTAATACTACTAGGCAAGCACTTTTTTTGTGTCTTTAGTACGCAAACCTGCAGATTTATGATAAATAAAAAGTTTATAAATAAAAAGTTTAAGTTTTCATATCACACACTCTTATGTTAATTTATTGGGTCCCGCAGTAGACTGATCGTTAAGACACGGTTCCCAGCAGATCACCGAAGTCAAGCATCACTGGCTGCGGTCAGTGTGCGGGTGGGTGACCACTTGGATCAGTCTGCGTAGGGACCGAGTGTGTGCGGTATTGGTCCTCGTTAAACTGTGCTACCGTAAAGTGCTCGACTTCGCGCGCAGGTCGTCGGGCTACCGAAGCGGGGGTGCCATCCCCTCCGCAGAGAATCAAAATTGTGATGGCATGTCTTCGGATCATCTCAAGGGATATTTTTCAGACCCTCTGAGAACTCTAGTGTGCTCCAAAGCTAGATTCAGGATTTCCCTTGTTTTTTGGGCTTGGTTCAAAATTACAAGGCTACCGAGTTGTACATTGATAACCATAAACCTAAAAAGTGGGTTGATTGTTTGATGCCGGTTGTAAAATAAAATAACTCAAGAGATTAGTTTGAGTTATTTTATTTTGCAACCGGCATCAATTGTGAAATTTCACAAAAAATTGATTTTACTAGTTAGTATTCATAACAATAAGTCTGGAAAGTGTAATAAATTGCTACTCTTTTCTTAAAACTAATCATTATGAACAGTTATCGCTTGCATGAATAATAACCATTTACCTAAGAAATCTTTATGAAAATGCTGCCACTGTGTCACTGTTTTTATGAAAATGCTCTTATATTTAATTATTAGTTATATTGGTCCCGCAGTGGACTGATCGTTAAGTCACGGTTCCCAGCAGATCACCGAAGTCAAGCATTACTGGCTGCGGTCAGTGAGCGGGTGGATAACCACTTGGATCAGTCTGCGTAGGGACCGAGGGTGTGCGGTATTGGTCCTCGTTAAACTGTTCCACCGTGAAGTGCTCGACTTCGCGTGCAGTTCGTCAGGCTACAGAAGCGGGGGTGCCATGCCCTCTGCAGAGGATCAAAATTGTGATGGTATGTCTTCGGATCATCCTTAGGGATGTTTCCCAGACCGTCGCCAATAGCCCATTGTGCAGCTCTAGTGCGACGTAAATGAACCACAGCAGCAACAACAACAATTAGTCACATTGATTGATTTATAGCAGTTTATTTGAATAATTATGATATCTAGAATCTTAATCTAAATAATAATTAAAGTAATAAATTTGATGGAACTTATTCCATTCGTTTGTATGCATTTATTTATTTTTATTTATTCAAGCACATTCATATAAAGTCTAGTATTTCATTATAAAGTACGGCTTATAAGCTCGTGTAAAGTTGAAGAACAGATAGCATAATTCAGAGAAGAACACACAAATATACAAACTAGGTTACGACGAGATTCGAATCCGCTACCCTTGCGCTACAGTGCGTAAGGGCTAAAATTACTAATATACTCCCATAAGGGCTAAAATTACCAGTTTTTTTATGTTTTCTGGTGATATTAGTCTCCTTTTCCTGAACAATGATTTTTCAGGTTTCAAAAACTTTTATTTTTCTCTTTGCATAAACATGAATTTGCTAATCTAAATGAGTCCAACCGTGGACTGATATCGGACTTCAGTCCAGCGGGGCAGGAGTTTGATTCTCTACTCCGTTAAGACTTAGCGGAGTAGAGAATCAAAGGGATCGGGGTCTTAACGGAGGGTCTTAACGCATATGCAGCACACGTGCTCGTAAAATCTGTGGAATCGAAAGTCCAGTGGTCGGTCACTGATTTGTACCATGAGTACAGTGACCAGGAGAAAAATATCCTTCCTCTTCAGATCTATGTCTAAATTGAGAAGGTGACATCATGAAAATTGCGATAGCATGTCTTCGGATCATCCTCATAGATGTTTCCTAGATCCTCGCCAATAACCCATTGTACAGCTATAGTGCTAATCAAATAAAGTACCTACTTACCGTGGATCGATCGTAAGACTAGTAAAATATCGAAGTTAAGCAAGTGAGCGAGTGGGCGACTACTTTTGATCAGACTGAGTAGGGACGAAGGGTGCGTGCTATCGGTCCTCATTAATCTGTTTTACCGCCAAATGATCGACGTCACGAGCAGGTCACCGGGATACCAAACAGGTACAGCCATCTCCTCTGACGAAAATCAAAATTGTGATGGCATGTCTTCAGTATTTTGTATTCGTACTTTGGAAAGTAATTTGAACACAAAATTATATATGTATATATACACTGATGTGCAAAACTTAAGAACAAGTGGTTTTTCGGCCACAGCTCCCCAACAAAGTATAAGATAGGCATGAAATTGCAGTATAATATGCACGTAATTCAGTAGAAAGATTATTTGCATGCAAATTTTAGAAATAAAACGTCGTAGGTGATGTAAGTGTACGTAAACCTTGTGGGTCGGCGCGCGCAGGTCAAAGCTGTGATAAAAGGATGAAGAGCACCGTAGTTAAAGACATGACATGGGATTGGTCAAGGCAGTTGAATGCTCAGGGACAGTTGGTCGAAGGATACGAATTGGTTTGCTGACTCATCCTCATCTTTTGTTATTATTTGGATAACCTTTGGTAAGGTATTGACTGGCTTGTAGTGGATTAAGCTACGAGTCAGTGTTTGTTTCTTCAGGGTGGGACCAGTCTTGTCTACCCCATGGATGATACCGGCAATTCAGAGAATGTTCCCCTCACTAATTCAAATCTTATCGGCATGACCGATATTTCTTTAAACGCGGATATTATTCCTTCGTCTACGGAAGAAATCGCAGCCCCCCTCGCTATTAGTTTAACTGAAACTACACCCGCTCCGTGTACAAGTAGGACAGCGGACGAGGAGTATGATTCATTAGGCAAAATTAAAGTACTTAGCGATAATTATAATCAAGATGAGTATAGATATGCGGACAAATTATTTGACAAATATAGTGAATTAACTGGCGAATTATTTCGCGCTATGGAATTTATCCTAAATCATAATTTTAGTGAAAGTAATATTCTCAACGAAAGTTTCAAAAAATTGATAATTACGAAAAATGAGATTGATAGAAT